GCAAAATGTTTGTGAATTCATGGATTGTAAATAGTAGTAACAGAACGGGCTTAACTTACTATACTCATCTTTGGTTCAAATATTTTTGTTTGTTTATTCAAGTTTCTTATTTTCCCCCAAAGGCTATCGAACCAAAAGGGAAGCGCTCAAGAAGGTCCAGGTCRCGCTCTAGGTCACCACCCAGGAGGAAACGGCGTGACAAATCTCGTAGTATGTCACGCTCTCCATCACCTGACCGATCATCATTATCTTCGTCACAAGTATTACAGGTAATTGACAACGTTGATTGAATTTTATTTCAACCTTTTTTTTTCAATTACATTAACCCCAAGAGCGAAAGCGCTCATCTAGGGGGTCTACATTAAAGCTCTTTATTGCCTCTTATTGTGGACGAAAAAGTTCTGTAAGCGACCATTTTGACGTTAGATGATTTTCGATTATCAAAGGTCCAAGTCAGCCAAGTTTGAAACGGGGAAAAAAACCGAAAACCTCTTACATTGGGCAAATTTGGTCTGGTCGTTTTTTGAAGATTTTTTACTGCACATAACGAATTATGTTGAATTTAACAAATTTTAGCTTAGAAACTTATTCCAACCGTTTTTATTAATCAGTCACTCAAAGGCTACGACTCGCGAAGTCCTACACCGTCTAGCTCGTCGTCTCGTCAACGGCGATCCCGATCACGCTCGAGAAGCTCTTCGCGAAGTCGTCGGAAATCACGATCTCGTTCACGAAGTCGATCACCAAGATCGCAGCGAAAACATCGAACCAGGTCAAGATCACGAAGCACTTCGCCAAAGAAAAGCTCGAAAAAGAGAAGGTCTCGGTCAAGATCGCGTTCACCATCAAAGAAAAAAGGCAAGAGGCGAAAGAAGTGAGACTAAAGTAGGYTTGGACTATTCATTCTTTAGATACTTGGTCTGACGCACCACTGCACCGTGACCCCTTTTTCAAGAAGCCAGCTTCCAGCCTGGATTAAGCTTCCTAGTATGAGTCTAGTTTCTACTGAAATTGCAAGCGTATGGTGCGGCCTYGTAAAAGACAAAACATCCACAAGAAAGTACCGTATTCTTTAGCTACATGTGACACTTAATTTGATTGACGAGAAAATATTTCTTTTTAGCCTCTGTTTTTATACCACTTGTTATAGTCGTTGTCGTTAACCTTAAATCAAGCAAGGAACACGGTTCCTTGAGACTAAGCGTCACGTAATCTTGCATGAAGTTGTGCTGTGTTTCTGGACGAACTTATAATAGCATGCAACAAAGTTTGCATGAGAAATATTCCGAAGKACTTTGCGAGATAAATAACTTCCAAGTATCTTAAATTCGTAATTATTAAGTTATACTTGAAATGTATCACACACGCAAATGCAGAATAGTGTAAATTCCTTATGCCTGTGAAATGGCACGTATACGGCGTGATAATATGAGCCAATCACAGCGCGCGAGGTCACTGCTTATCCAATAAAAATGCGGCGTAGACACGACACGTGCGTCAAATGAGGTTTTACCAAGTTTCATTCATTAATGTAAAATAGCGGGTTTCATACGAGTGGAAGACACAGCCAATCTATAGTCAYATCTCCAACTATGATACTGTATTTTCCTGTAACAGTATCTACGCGTTTTGATTATATAAATCGTACAAATACACTGGAACCCATTTYAGAGTCCTGATTATTGTACGAGTCATTGATCAGTACTATAAGAATATCACTAGTGGAAAATGGTCAGTTCATTGACTATAAATTGGATTCCATGATTAAGAACCCTCATTGGTCAGAATGCATTTCTGTGCCATTTGATTGGCTRAAAGCCAAGTTGCTAGGCATTTCCAACTGACCCGTACCAAATCTGCTTTGACGACCAAAATAAATAGGCTTGAGAAAACATGACTTTTATCCAAGTTATGATACTACAACAACTAGCTAAAGAAATAAAGTAYTGTATAGATATGTCACTATAAACCAGTTTCTGTGTTAAGTGTCGATGCTAACATTTCATGGGGAAAGATTAACTTGGATAGATGGCAGAAAAAAACGTAACGGGAAARTAAAATAGATAAAATGGCAAATAATAGATATTCTTGGGGGTGCATGTGATGTCATAGCCGCCATTTTAGATGATTGACAAAATATTTGGTCTTGATGTYTTGTCATGTCAACCAACRTGGCAGTMACATYTTTTGTCCTTTTATTCTAATGGGTAGGAATATGCACCACCAATTACTARACATTGTCAGTGGTTTGGGSGAATTTCACARCATATTTAACTATTGGCCTCACTTGACTGCAGTGATGGCTATATTGTTAAAGGGGTATGTAATAAGATTCACAGCTTTTAGATTGCAGTATGAAAAAGTAATTGGAAGACATTGTGGATGCATGAGATGACAGTGGCTGCATATATGTGTTTCACATCAACACAGTCTTGCTTACTGTGTTGATGTAACATGTATGTGCAGACGTTGTCCATGGTCAAAGGAGTGGCTGAAGACATCATTGTGGATAAAAGTGGCTGYGTTTACTTTTTTCACATCAGTCTTGTTCACTGACTTGAAGTAACTTATATGTGCAGATGTTCATGATCCAAGTATCAAGAAATGGCTGAAATATTTTGCAATCATTCTTTTTCTCCAATATATTTAAATCACATTACAACACAGGAATTCCAATGAGTTCCTGAAAAATTAATATTGAGTATCTGAGATGCTGCATGTGAGCGTTAAAGTGATAGTTATGAGTGAGTGCAGAGAATTTGCAAATAATGTAGTGTAGAATAAAATTCTTACGTTTTTTCGATTCAGTCTATATAAATATTGGGACTTATTTTGTGCTTAAATAATGTCTACAAATTCCCAATCCACTCTCATATCCTCTAGTTTTAAAAACATTGTTAAGGGAGGGGAGGGTGGGTACCGAATTTTTTTGGGACATGAAAGGGAGGCCCTAAAAATTTAACATGCAAACAAGAAGGGGGGGCCTCAATTTGAATTTAAAAATTTTCATGGGTTGTTTGGGGGCTTCGAAAATTAACATATCCTTGAAAGCTGTCTTAGGTTTGGAGCTAAATTTTTACAGATATTTGCGAGTTAAAACATGTTTTCAAATATGTTAAGAGGAAAATTTGTTGCATTTCGTATGAAGGCGCGGGCATCCTGTGTTGAAGTTTAGAACGCCTGGTGATTTTCAAAAAGTTGACAAAAGTTAAGAAAAATTCTGACGTTCTTTTTAGCAAAATGGCAGTCTGGAACACTATTCTTTACACGCTGGTATGTCTATATCCATATTTAATTACGAAACACTACYATGTTGGTTTATTGGTTTAAATATTTGCGAGACTTCAGTGGTATCTTAGCAATTCCAATTGAATAGAACCAAGTGGATTGAATTAAACGTCAAATGAATTAAGAATGGCTATGAGATTGCGTTTTTATCAATCTAAAACTCCCAGCATTTCTGTTTTGTTTCTTTTGACGTTTTTGTCTTTATCAAAATTACAAGATCCGGCAAAATTTGASGGCGAAGTTTCAGCCAGTGTGCAAGAAAGTTTATTTCAAAGTGCTCAGCTTTTTGACGACTTTATTGAAATTCGCCAACCACTTTCTTCTCATGCCAGTCAGCACTTTCTTGTTCGCGTGGACTACAGGTGCAAAACAGCTCGAATAATAACGATAGAACTTATTTCGTACGGTCATGAAAACACTGAAAGAATTGAATTCAGATACAATTTTGTTGTTGCGCTAAGAACAACAGAAACAACGACCCGTTCTGTCAAAGTGAAGCTCAGGGATTCTCTAGTGTTTGGGGACAACAAAGCACTAAACATCGCCACAGATTTGCACACATTTCGCTTGAGACTGGTTGTTTCAGTYGTTGATATTGATTCATTGTCGTTGTATGGAAAAAATGGTCAAAAAGCAGCTGTTTTTGCAAGTGACAGCAGAGAAGTATCTCTGTTACCTCCCTGGAGCAGACCTGTCAAGCAAGGWTACTGCTTTTCTTGTTTTGCGAGTTTTTTGCAAAGAGCAGAGAAGAGGAAAATCCACAGATGTCAACTTGTAAATGGTAAATAACTGGTCGAGTTTTCATTTAATTTAAAAACATATCACATGTCTTGTACCCTAATGTTTTCGTTCTATGGTGGGTGCAAGGGTATGAGGTAAGGATTTTTTTATAAGTCWGTGTACTACAGTTATTAATTGAAGCAATGGGAATTTTTGATCATATAATTTCTGTTCTACAGATATTGTTAATTTTGTGGATTTCCCAGTAGYCTTGGCTGGCAAAGAAGAAGGCTTTAAGAAGTATGTAAACATGTATTTTAAAGTTTTAATGTTGGATGTTTTAGTTTACAAATCCTCCTTTCTCTTCTGTCTTTTCCTCTCCTCTCATCTCTCCCATCCTTTTRTCTCCCCTCTCTTCTCTCATCTCCATTTGTCTCATTTCATGTYTTCTTCTCTCATCTCTTCTCTCAACTCCTCTCATTTCCTCTCATYTCCCCTCTCTCCTCTCATCTCAGTTCATGTCTTCTCCACCAATCTTCTCTTTTCTCATCTTGTCTCCCCTCCTTTCATCTCTTCTTGTCTCTTTCACCCATCTTCATCCCTCACACGTATCCATGTAATATACTTGCTATCCTACCCACCACTTTATTGTCCAGAGTATAATGCATACTAATCTTAGTTTTGCATGCTTTTTCACAATTACTGAAGACGTCTTCCTCCTCTGGACTGGAAAGATCCATATCTTAATGAGATCCAGAAGACCTCCAAACCAAGGTACCAATATCTGTATACAGTACACACAGCAGGGGCAAACCCAGGATTATGGGCAGGGAGGTTCAAGGTTCGAAAAATAAATTTATTGCACAACCAAAAAAAAGCCAGCTCCAAATTGGCTTTGGTAGTGGCTTCAATACAGTGAAAGGAACTAAAGAGTTGGATTGTAGTYCTCATTTAGAGGTTCAATGGCAGTAAGGGTGTCTACATAACCCCCCTCCCCAGACCACCCCTTAGATCCCCCTGCACAGAGATTATATTTATCAGCCCATTTTATATGCCAAGTCGAAATATGGCAACCACTTCGAATAACTATTGTTCTGGACTGACTAGACTCTCATACCATTCCTTCTCTGCTCCCAAAAATATTGCACCCTAAATCTAAACCTTGGTGATATTTTTTTTTCAGGTTTACAATAACAACCTGGATCTACGTGCTYGAGGCTTGCACCAGAAATCTATGTGGTGTTATACAAATTAGAAATGATAATTTTCTTACTCCGCTAGTGGCATTAACGATATCTGGTAAATGAGGACTGATGATTGACTGCCTTTCGTAGCCAGTGCAAAATATCAAAAAACATTACCAATATTTATTATTATTTCAAGTGAATCTCATTGACAGCACACCACAAGTCTTCCTRTATAGAGGCTCAGTGCCAGAGCTTCTAACCAGTATCTGATGTGAGCTCAATTCCTATCAAGGACCGCAGTTGTTTTCTRAGTTCATATTTCAAACTAGATCCAGCAATTTTATTATTGTTATTAGACCTAATTCGTCATGGTGCAATGTTTTCCTATTTCAGACCACGTGTCATTCCCTAGASTATCATTTCTTTGTTTAATGGTYGAGCAAGACACATGAGTATATGGATACAACTCAAACAAAGTATTACTCTAAAGGGAATGACAGGTKGTCTGAAATAGGCAACATATATTGCACCACAGTGAATTAGGTCTGTTTCCTACAGGTCAGTTTCATACCCAGGTAAACTACAARAACAAAAAAGCCCATGCATTCATCACCAGAGGTGGTATACGGCRAAACACATGGAACCAAGTTATTATGGCTTTTAATGATACTGTTGTCACCTTTACTGTGAGATATGGCAACAACTTTGAAAACGAGTTCCAGTTTGAACACCATGAGTAAGTTTTGTCTTTCATGTTACTCCCCCTCACTCATTGGAGCTTTTAAGGTGTGACGTATTTTCGGGTCTAACTGCTTRCATAAACCGCTAGAATAGAGAGAAAAGTGTTCTCGACGGTTTAAACTCTGCCTCAAAAAAATAGAACTTAGGACAACGAATGCAAAGGAAAAGTAGGAATATTCTTTAAAGGACCGCCTTTCCCTTGTGGACCCGGAAGTCGTTTTTCCATACGTATGACGTCACAGTTGCTGGGTTTCACACGACGTCATTTCCTGTCTCGTGTGGAATGTTAATACTTTGAATCTCTAAAGATTTCGCGGGTCGGTCCCACATATCGCCAGTACAAAGTTCGGGCACTGTACTCGGAGTTTTCAGCTGAATCACAAGTGATTAAAACCCTGCAATTTTTGGGTTTTCACACGACGTCATTTTCTTTCTCGTGCGGAATGTTCATCATCTAAATCGCAAGTTTTCAATAGATTTTTCCTGTTTGAAAGTACATAAGGGTCAGTGTTTGAGCACCATTTGGAGCAGATAATAAGATAAAGACTTTCATTTATTTTTTTCACTCCTAGTTTTCCCATGGGATCGTATCACTTCGATGACAGTGAAGGATTCTGGATACTAGGTGGTACTACTGGTTTCTGTTCGTTTGAGGGTTTTATGGGTCCAACTACTTTATATCGCCGACGTGTGCTGAAGCCTTCAGAGGTATGTTAAATAGCTCTACATTTTTAAATCAGGGAACTCACCATTTTCCATACATCGCTTCACTGGTCAAACACAAAGCATTCAGTCGAGGTTGCAAGGTTCAAATTTGAATAATCCTTTGAAAGTACATTGGCGCCTCGCTTGAGCGCTTTGTGTTTGACCAGTGAACCGATGTATGGAAAATGGAGAATTAAGCAAAATTTGATCTTATCATAAATCATAAAAGCTTTTTTTTTGTCCAGGTACCGATCCCGCCCAAGGATCATCCCATGTTTCTTGTTGGTATGTTGAATAGATTTTGGAAAAACTAATAAAAGACCTCCTTCCTTCCTTCCTTCCTTCCTTCCTTCCTTCCTTCCTTCCTTAGTCCTTCGTTCTCGTTATCTTTTTCTCTCTCTCCTGTTGTCTGTTTGTTTGTCTGTTTTCTTTCGTTTTTCGTTCTTTCTTTATAGTCTGTATCATTTCCCCATCAAGGTATGGACAGTTATTACAGCCGTTGTGCAAATGTAATCTATGGATTAACAATGAAAATGGAAGAAATAGAAATCGACAGACGAATGGAGGAGAGTTTAGAACAATTAGATGATGGTGAGTTAAACCTTCAAGTTCTATTAATACCCTAAAAGACAACCTCTGGACTGACCTATGTCAGCGCACGGCTAACTTAGAAATTGAATCGGAATTAAGCGTGGAGAGAGTAAAACCGGACAACCGGAACCCTCGAACCGAAGGAGACCTATTAACAAATTCAACTCACATGCGATACCAAGTCCACGATGCTACGCCACCCTTGTGCGCAAGGAGTGCATGGTAATATAGGTTTTGCACCATCATGTGCCGACGCTAATAATACAGCTTGGGCTGCCTATGGTTTCATCTCGGGATTTGAATTCTTTCTCATGTAAACCAATTGTGTTGTTCCTGCCATCTAACATGACTGCCGTCACGTGACGTCACGTGATGGTGCGTCACGTACTCTACAACTCGTGACTTACAGTGTTCGCCACAGTGTTGCGTGATATCGTTGCATGTTTTTGAATACCGCACCCATTACATCCTACCCTTCATGTTTTTGTCGTAGATAGATGCATGGCAAAACCTATGACCTATGATGTCCTACATAGTTACTATAGTAACCATGACTCAGATTATCCTATGTGTGAGGTGACGTTTACCGGAGAGACTCCCGAAGCTGACAATGTAGTTTTGAACGTGTTGAAAAACGAAACAGTTAACATAACAACAGCTGGAGAACGGATTTTTGACATCGCTTCTAAACTAATGGTAAGTTTGCCTTTCTCTTTTGTATTCCTCTCGTCCCGCGATGACGGTCATCATTATTACCGTCATAATCATCATTGTCACGTCACCGTCGCCACCAACATCATCGACGTCAACGCCATCATCGACGTCACCGCAATCATCAACGTTACCGCTATCATAATCATCATCTTAATCAGCATTATCAACATCATCATCTTCAACATCATCACCATCATCACCACCACCATCATTACCGTCTCTACCATCATCATCATATCGATATCGTCATTCAATATTCAACACCACTGTCATATTCGTTTGTTTTGTTTGGCAACAGCGCCATCAGTTGCAGTCAGTAACAATGAGGCCTTTGCTTTTGTGCAGTTCTTTTGTTTCCTAATTGCAAAAAAACTTATTCGCAGTGAAGAATTTTTAAATTTTAAATTTTAAATTTTTTTAAAAATTTTTAAATTTTAAATTTTCTACGTTTTAAAAAACGTTTCCCCTGTTTTCGTTTTATTGCAAAGCTACGCAGTATCAACAATATGCCATTAGCGTTGAGTCTCTTCCGTGTATCAGGATGCTCAAAGCACCACAAGTCCCTGTACACTGCTGGTGTTATATACACGACTGGTCTGGGGGTACCACGAGACTTAGACAAGGTAAATTAAATAGACCTCTTTATCTTGGGCGTAGATTTTTTCCATTTCAGGCCACGTGTCATTCCCTTGAGCATCATTTCTTTGTTTAACGGTTGCATCTGAGAAAACACATGAATATGGATACGACTCAAACAAAGAATCTTATTCTCCAGAGAATGACACGTTGCCTGAAATTGAAGGTTTATCGCTCGTTTGTTCCGATTTGCTCGTAACATTACGACGTATCTATTATACCCTAGGCAAGGCAGTTCTTTCTTGTTGGGGCTGTTCTCGATCATCCTCTCTCACAGATGTCTCTAGCATACCGTTTTCTCATTGGTGGAGATGGCGTGACCAAACAATGTGACATTTCTGCTGGTAAGAATTGTACACCACCTTTGTCACGGTTTTCGTTCCTCCATAAATAACAACACCTGTGTTCATTTATGTGCTGTAAATATTTCAATGTAGCAAGAACCACATGCATTGTGCTTGTAGATAAGGCAGACGCCTTTGGGGGCATTCTGCGCATGCTCTCTTGTGTTTTCCTTGGCTTTAATTTAGCCAGATAAAACTTGAGAGAAACTTTCATAAACAACGTTGCGAAAGATACCCTCGTATTTACATTTCACATAATCGATCTCAGAGATTTCAGGAAACAACTCTACCACAATATTTTAAAACATATTTAAGAATATCTGTTACGTGTGTTTATTTATTAGGAAAAATATTTGATACCAAAATGTTCATTTTTATTTTGTCAGGATATTTCAAGATGGCGGCAGTCACTGCAGACAGGGTTCTACAAGAACACCATGCTGTACACGTAAGACATTCCCGGCCAGCTTTCTCTGACTTAATAATACAAGCCAGCACTGACGGATTTTGCTTCGTTTTCCACAGACCCATTCAGAAGCGGTACGACTTGATGACTACGATGAGTTAGCAAAACACAAGGGAAAAGATTCAGATATATTCCAATGGCTAGCCCATCAGGCCTTGCAGGGAATTGGCGACGCCCAGGTAATCATAGTAACATTATTTTCTCCCCTCCCCCTTCCCTGGGGGAGGACGTGTGGAGTGTTTGTTGCCTGTGCTTGCTTTCCATGGGTGGCTTGCGCTGATACGGCGCTGTCTTTCACCGCTGTGTAGTTCATGCCTGGAGTGGAGTATTCGTGTCGAGTGGTCGTGCATGTAGAGTGCACCTCCTTATGGGCGGGGAGTAATGTCAGTTTTATAATATAAGTTTTTTTCCATACAAGGGAATCGTAGGTGAGCTATATTTCTACGGCAAGAGAGGCATTCAGAGAGATTTGGATAAAGCTGTCAAGTACTACAAGATGAGTGCTGACATGGGAAATCCCGAGGGACTTTTTAACCTTGGAGTCTCGAAACTTAAGGTAAAACGGTTGGAAATACAGGTCGGTCGGTTCGCCGGTCGGTCGGTCGGTTGGTCAGTCGTTCGATCGGTCGACAAAGATTGTTTTATCATTTTTTTATTGTTTGGTTTTAATAATGTCGATGGTGTTTTGGAGGTCGAAGCAGTCCTGTCTTTGTGTCAGCTAGCATGTCTGTCTGTCTTCTTCCTTCCCTTCCGTCTGTGTCTCTGTCGTTCTAATCCTCAACTTCTGAGTATCGATATTCGTAGATTGAATTAACATTGTTGTTTATGTTTAGGGACAGGGCACAGAGATGAACGAGACAGAGGGGATGGAGCTTATAGCAAAAGCAGCAGAACAGGTAAATGAAATAGAATATTCTAGTGATCATATTTCAGCTCTGATAATTCACTCGGTCATTTATCCTGTTCTCGTCAGGATTTTCCACCAGCACTCAATGCAATGGGATTCTTCGAAGTCAACTATCGGGCAAACTTCACGGGCGCTGTCTTCCACTTTAAACGAGCTGCAAGAAAAGGAGACAGAGATGGCCTGTACAATCTTGGCGTAGCTTACGACAACGGGTGGATGGGTGCTGGTGTCACCCCTGACAAGGTAGGGTAAGAAGATTTCAATCGAACAGAAAATGAAGGTATTTATTCGCCTTGTTTAACATAATCTAGATTTATGTCGAAACATTCTGTAAGTTTATTTTGACTAAAGTTTAAATAACGTCCAGGCCTTGCATCGCGACGCACTAGTTTGAAAAAGAGAAGACAGGAGACATTGGTTTTGGACTAATTCTATATCATATCGCTATTTCTATATCATAGAATGAGTCACATGACTTGCCACTTGTTTCCTGGTATGTTCCACGTGACCATCATGGGTCACGTGACTAGCTAATGCTTGAATATGATTTCGTTAATTTCCGGGAACACTGTTCTGGGATGTATTACCTAGATTCAAGTTACATGTGACGATTAAGAGTCACGTGACTGCAGCTAAACCTGAGTTTGATTGGTTAATACCTTCGGGAAACCAGTTCACTGTTCTGTGACCATTAAGAGTCACGTGACTGCGGCTAAACCTAAGTTTGATTGGTTAATACCTTCGGGAAAACCAGTTCATTGTTCTGGGGTGTATTACTTTAGCCATGCTGTCATAAAGACAGATAAAGTGATTCAATAAATTTATTTCATAGAAAAAAGCAATTCATTATTGGCGTCAAGCAGCGGGTAAGGGTCATCCAGGAGCTTGTATTTCTGTTGGTGAAGAATTACGAACAGGACAACACACGAATAAAGACTGTTCCATGGCAGTGGTGTAAGTAGATCTTTCCTAAACTTGCTCTTATTTTCTTCTCTTTTCGTTTCTTGTCTCTTCCTTTCCTTCCCATCTATCCACTTGCTTCATTTTTCGTCAGGGCTCGTGTTGATAACGGTAAAAAAAATATGGCTGAACGGGCTACCCCGTTTGAAAAAGGTGTCATTCATTCATTCTTTTTTTTCATTCATTCATTTATCCTTTCCTTCTTTTCTACCTCTTCCACTTGCTTCAGTTCCTCCCCTCCTCTCATCCTTTTCCCATACTATCTGTTTGCCTCCTTTTCTCCCATCTCACTTGTATCACTTCGTCCCTCCTTACTCCTTCCCTTTTCTCTCATTTCACTTTCTTTCCACCACCCTCTCCCTCCTTTTATTTTACCACAGGGATACCGCGTTACCTGTAACCAATCCTCCTCGCGCCTCATGAGGGCCTTCACAGCAATACCGTTAAAGCAGTATTCATATTTTCTTTTCTGTATTTTTAGGTATTTACGCTATATTGCTGAACAACACCCTGAAATAGGATGGCTGTTACGACAGGGACTTAACGCGTACTACAAAGGAGACCTGTAAGTGGATGGAATATTTATCTTACTCTAAGGATTCAAGTTTACTTGATTTAGGTGGCGAGTATCAGTAAATACTCTCTTTCCCCTTCCCCTCCCCCCCCCCCTACCCTTGTGTGTGAATCAAAGGAGCTCATTTTGGAAGACAACAACAAAAGAATTTCAATTTCCTGAAAATTGGCCATTTCTTTGCGGGTGTCCGGTTGTTTTTCAAGGACAACGTTCCCCCCCCCCCCCCCCCCCCCCCCCCAAAGACCTGTTAAAATGCTTGATACTGGGTGTTTGTAGTGTCTATATCTATACACCAATTCGTTGTTTTGTATACATGCAAACAGACAGTACATTCATTTCTGAGATTTTACTTCATTTTAGATATTTGAGAACAAATATCCCACCTCACCCCTCCCTTCTAAATTGTATCTCGTCACATGAGAAATGATTTGACCATATCTTAACTTACCGTGCAGACCATCTTATCAGATTTAACTTATTATTTAGGTTCAAATCCCTCGTTTCTTATGTGTTGGCTGGAGAGGCTGGTATGGAGGTTYCGCAGTACAACGCCGCGTTACTCTGTGAAGAAAACGAGGTAACGATACGACATATACCACAGATAGCCCAAGCTGGTTACTGTGGTGTCATGTCATAAGAAAATGTATGGCGATACTTAAAAACCTCAATAAAATCGCCCAAATGTGAAATAAAGTAAAGACGTCTTATCTGACCTTTGAAAAGTAGTATATCTTTCGTTCTGTGTACTTAGTTTTTGGATTTAACGACTTTTTTTACGTTTTTTTCCTCCACTGGTAAGAAAAAAAGTCTTTTTTTAAGTATCGTCATGCATGTTCTTATAACATGATATCACAGGAACCTAGCTGAGGCTACCTGTGCATATACGATATATCTTCCTATGCTATTAGGATTCCTGTGGCATTGGAGAGAGGAGAGACTGGGGGGAATATTAGTCGCCACAGATAGCCCAGTGAAGTTACGTATGGGTTACATGTACCTGCATGTTTGATTGGTTTCCGCGGGAGAGCCCAACCTTTCCAAAGTTTACCATTAATTATTTTCTCATTTCTATATTATGTAGGATTACCTTGGGAATATTACAGCTGTCGACTGTGTCGAAAGATATTACAATTCATCAGCCGCACTTGGATGGGTCTTCTGTAAGTCTTCTACTTTAGTTTTGAACCTTATCTTGATAGTTATGTGTGAGGATCGAATAAAAGCCGAATCTGCTTCAACAAATTCAAATTTTATAAATACCCTGGAACAAAGTTAGGACACGGCTTACTCACGTATCAAACTACAATTTAACGAGTGTTATGTTTTTTTGGGGGGGAGGGGGGAGAAATACCGGAGAACCCGAAGAAAACCCTCGAATTATTGAGAAACTTAACAAACTCTATTCTCTTCTTTTTACATCCCCATAATACTTTGCGTCTTTGGGGGGTAACCAGAGGGTAAAAAGCCACTTATTTTGTTAAAGGCTGATCAGACAATGTTGACAGTACCTTGTTTGGTATCCAAAAATAAAATGAAGAAGTAAAAAACAGAAAAAGACAGAAGATTGAAGACGTTTAAGGTAAATTTTAAACATTTTTTCGTAAGTCAATACATTTTCTGTAAGACCAAAACTCTTGATGATCTGTACACGCAAAAATAACTTGGAATAAACTGATAATCAGTATTGTACAGATAAAAGCAGGTATAGTATAAATTCAATTAAGAAACCTTTCAATTTGGGACAGTTTTTTGATTAGTTACTTCCTAGAGACGCAATGCATTATGGGGATGTGAAAGCAGAGAATACATGTGAATCAAACCTGAGATTCCAGAGACGAGAGGAGAGTGTACTACCAGCTACACAACCCTTGAATTGATTTTCTTCCCTCGTAGCCATGATCAAAGTTGGTGACAGCCACTGGTACGGGAAGAACGTACCACAAAGTATTACAAGAGCAGCGAGAATGTACGCAGAGGCAGCTGCCAAGAACGACCATCCACACGTGAGTAAGATAGATCCCGCCCTGTCACACCTTGCATAGATGAACCAAATTGGCAGGGCATCTATTAAGTACAATGGTTTTTTAGACGCGCAAGATTTTTTTGAGTGTGTTAGCGTTTAGATGTTAGCAGGTGCGTAGCCAGGATTTTCCGAAGGGGCGAAGGGGGAGAGAGCAAATTCAAAGTTAAGCTTTTGTTTGAACCTCAAAAACGCCAAACCAAAAAAACCATTACGAAAAACAAAACATTTGAAAACTCGTATGAATTCTAAAAAGCCGTCTTTTTGTTGCCACAAAGGGGAGCGGGAGGGATGGCTCCCATTGTGTGCGCCACTGGTAAGGCTGTAAGTTTAGTTACGCAGGAAAAGTTTGGGTGCGCAAGAGGTTTGGCGAAGCGCAGCTTGGAATAGGCAGGAGTGTGCAGGGATTTTTTGGGTACGCGTGGGGTTTGGGTGTAAAAGAGGGTGCGCAGACGATTCGGGTGCACGTGCGCATGAAGCACCATGACTTTTGTTACTTAAAACCTTCCCAATATTTTCCTGTTCAAATAGTATTTGACTGCTATCTATATCTTGTGTTTTCTACAGGCTGTTTATAACTTAGCGTACATGGTGGAGTACAACTATTCACTGGCCGGGATAAGATGGAGTAATGTAGATAGGAATTCTGTGCAAAAAGGAAATCTCACTTTTGCTGCAATTCTTTATGAGAAGTAAGAATTCATAAAGACATTCAATCCTTTAAAGAAAAACGTCCTTTTTCACAAGGGTAGCACTTAATAGCCAGTGGCTAACAAACCTGTGGCCCTCATTCTGTGATCGAATTGGAATTTAGGAGTTGATTTTTGCGGAGGGAGGAAAACCGGAGAACCCGGAAAACCCTCGAAGCACAGGAGAGAACCAACAAACAAACTCTACTCATATACAACACCGAACCCGACGGGACTCGAACTCGGGTCGCATTGATGAGAGGCAAGCGCCCACGCCGTTACGCCACCCGTGCTTCTTCAAACCTTTTAGGAAGACTCTAAAAATCCACGTACTGGGCTGATCAATGTCAGGGCATTGCTAACTCAAAAGATTAAATACTCTATTTGAATTTACTCGTGTCGATTATCCTTAAAACTCATTTTTATGAAAAAAGCCCTTTACGAATTGTTTTCTAAGCAGCAGTAGATTAATGATGCAATTATAAAAAACAGACTCTCTTTTCCATGTAACCTTCTTTGATGCCGCTCTGTTTAGCAATGTTAAGAATACCTCTTGATATCTTGTGTCCTGTTCCTATTGTGTGTAAAATTCTGTTCTCGTTTTTATCGCCTTAGGTGTCGAGACGCTCAGTCAAACAACAACGAATCGTACCTGCCATGCGCATTCGGACTAGTGCGAGTGACTGTCAAAGATTACTACAGAAAACACCCGCTACAAGTACAGGTAAAGTAACTAATACATTTCAGCCCCCCCCCCCCCTCCATCAAGGGGTGGGTTTGTTGGGCTTACATTGTAAAGCTTTAATAGGATAATGTACTAGTGAAGATTTGATCACGTGACTTGCTGCGTTTCCTTCATAGGTTGGCGCCATGTTCGCATCTTCTCTGTTGATCTCATTCAGTATTTGGCTCATAAAAGTTGGCGATCAAATAGATTAGCACGAAAATTAATTTCTTTGATAGATATGTATATCATGAACCACTTACACTGGTGAATAAGCTTGCTCTAAGTTCTCGCTGCAAGCGTTTAATTTGGGGGCTAATTTGCATATTTGGCGCGAAACCTGAAAAATAGGCACAAATTGGAGGAAAACTTTGTAGGCAACTGGTGTTTCGAGGAGTACAAAACACGGAAATTCAAGATTAAAAACATTTTAATGCATGAAGAATAAAACACTACAACTATTCAAAACGCTCTTTGAAATTTAACCAGACAGCGACCACGTTTGCGAAAGGAAACATTTTAGTAGGAAATTAATAAATAAATAAATTTATATATTAGAAGAAAATACGCTATTAGCTGGTATATTTTATTTGTCTAGAATTAAAATTCATACTATAGATATTATCTTCTATTCAATTCTATAAAACGGTCGTTCAAATTGAGACCAATAAATATCGTATCATGAGAAAAAGTTTTCAAAATGTCTGCAAGTGCTGACTCAAGTGAAACTCGTACTGAACATGCTTGGAAAATAATTAATTCCATCGTTTCTTAGCCTAGTATTTTCTTAGCATAATTTACTTTGTTTTCCTTGCCGAAGCAGCACTAGGAAAATCGATTGCAAGGCAATCAATCATTTACTGCACATGCGCACTACATCTCTCATTTCATAATAATGACGTCACTTTTAGGTCAAATTTATGCTCATATTTTGTAAACGTTTCGACTTTTCACTTGTGCTTGTCAGTTCAAGAATCGTGCGTTTTGGTTATTTAATAAATTAATAAAATGTTCTTGTTTTCAATGATTGTCTGTTTTTTTCCAGAAATATTTGTCTGTGTTTTCTCGGAGATATTTCGACGTAAATGTCCTCGTGTCTGTCTCTCCTGCTTCTAACATTTTCCTAAATGCTCTCGCTTCTCGAAATCCTTGCCAATAAATAACACTCTTGTTCGCAGGATTTTCCATCTCCAGGGAAACCACAGGTTCTGGACATTCAAGGTGATCCTTGTTGGCAAACTTTGGGGGAGGGGGTGGAATTTTGTCCGGATTCAACTTATGAGCCCGCAGTGCTTCCTGTCGCTCTATCATGCGGTCACACAAATAACACTCCCAATCTGCATACATCCGGTGTCCAAAGTTAATTTTATCCCAGTCTCCCAGGACGCGCCAGGGACGGTTTTCAATAGCATTAAGTAAATATTCATTGTTTATTTGACCTGGTTTCTTGTAGTCTAAATATTTTTCGTATTCTTCGTCATTCGCATCCAGATACTTTATATAATCCGCAAGATCTTTAGGGCTTTCGAAATTATCGACGAAAACCGCTGACTTGTGATTCGGCATCCAATCCCGAGCAACTGGCGAACCCATATAGATTGGTACCGAACCAACTTCGAGCGGTCGGAAAAGTTTCTCCGTCATGTAGTCGTTACAGATAGCGTTTTCAAACGCTATGTGGAACTTATACTGGGCGAGGAATTCGTAGAATTTTGGGCTTTGCAGCTTGTGAAATCCGTCGATTTCTTCTGGCATCTTCTTGTTATTCAAACAGGGTCCGTACGAGTCTATCTTAATGTGTTTCATCAACTCCGCCATGTAGCGTTCTCTATCGGAGGGTGTGTAGCAGTCACGTTGTACGTACACTACTGCAGCGAGACCTTTTTCCTTTTGCAATCTGAAAAGAAATCAGACCTTATATGTCACGATTCAGGTCATTTTTGAGGTCAGGCTCTTATTTTTTTTACCTCAAGGCTGATGTACAAAAGAGAACTAGAGGTCGAACTAGAAAGCATAATTATTTTTGCCCTCGCAATTCACGCCATTTTCTCAAAATGCTAATCTAAAAGAAACATAACAACCAGGTTGTACGTGCAGTTCCTTGGATGATAAAAACATAATGGCAATGGCTACGATACTCCTTTTTACAGTTTCTTTCAGTGACCACGAATAATAGTTCCAAGCCGAGGGTGGATTTCCCGCGCGTGACAAACTGTAGTTTTGCTATGCGCGGAAACTCCAGCCTCAACTTGAAATTCATGGTTACTGAGTGGAACTGTAAAATGGAATATTTCTGAATAAAGTTCACCAACCTGTTTTTAGTCTTGAGGGGTAACGGAGGATTGGTCCAGTCCTTAAGGTCCCGTATTGATTGGCTGGACACAGGATAATCTGATTCGCGCCTGAACGTAGCTGTGTGGTTGAACATTCTAAAACGATTATGATATGAGTCAGCAGATCCAAATTTTCACCTTTTTGAGTCCTGTTTTTAATTATTTTTTCAAATCGTAAAAATATAGTCCAGAGCTGGAGCCACTTTTATGCTGGAACCGTGGAGTAGTGAAAAGAGACCAGTATTTCTTGCGCGTGCGCCAAAGATGAACTGAGTGCAATTAGCGGAAATAGACTGATATTTTTTGCGCGCGCACTTTTTCTTCTTATTTTTAAGACATGAATTAGTTATCGAGAAAAGTCGGCCCAGACAAGAACTAGAATAAATTATGCTGATAAAGTAGCGTTTCAAAAGCTCATGAACAATTAATAAACCTTTGGTGCAATTGGAGCAACCATACACGTTACGTGCATAAAAATATTTTCTCATTAACCTTCTTTATGTAAAGAATGCAAAAGACTTTTTGAGTTAAAGGTGCATGATCAACATCTACCCATGAAATGCCACTTACTGGTATTGAATAGCACCTCAAAATTAGTAAAGCACTCCTGCTAATTTATTTTAAAACAATATTTAAGAAATAATTTAGTACTGCCACACCCAAACAATCTCTTCACCTCTCTTGCCCCCCTCATCCACACACACCCCCCTTGTCTCGAAACTCTAACATACGTGTTATCTTTGTGTATGATTTACCTTAATGCATCCTCAAAGGTCAGCATCCAATTATTTTTAGGTGACTCTTCATGGAATACCGCCCACTCATCCCAGGGGTTTCTAGGCAATGGCATCTCATCTGCCCTCAGATCTGTCCCATAAAAAATCATCATCCTCGTTGCAGGGTCATCTTTTAGTTTCTTGTCAATTGAAGTGATACAGCCTCCTTTCTTGCAGTAAATCTCATGATTAGCCTGTGCTTTAGTGTGGGGAAAGATGTGGTCTGTCCACCAGATCATGATGGGTTTCTTCCCCCTGGGGATGAGGGGTGAGGGGTCGATATTGTCACTTAAGTACTTGGCTTTATTTTCTGCTATACTGTTTTTGTCATCTTTATGATGATAGCCTGCAACATTAAAGTTTATTATCACAATCTTTATGTATAGAGGCTTTGCACCATCATGTGATGGCAGCCATGACAGGAGACAGGAACAAAAATTGCATGAATCTGGTCTAAATCTGATTTACATGAAGAAAAAATTAGTTTCCCAGGGGAAAAAGACTCTGTTGTTGTGCCTCCTGTCCTGGCTGCCTGAGTGCCATCACTTGTAGGTGCAAAGCCTCTATTGTAAAAAACAGCGTGGTCAGATTGAGTCATATCCATGTCGCTTTGCCTTAAAGGAGTAATTTTGTATCCTACAACCATCCCCTATCCTTCAACCATCAGACTGAAATTCCCTTTAAACAAAGTGTGAAATAAAATGCCTAGTTTAATAAAACTCCAACCCCCCAACCACACTTGAATAATCTCCCAACCCCCCCCCCCCCCCCCCCATGGAATTTGGATTTTCTGAGGGGTGGGGGGTCAGAGAAAAAACAAAACCCCCCCCCCCCCCCCCCCCCCCTGAATAAATGTCATATATCTACTAATAACTTCATATGCTAATGCCTTCAAATTTTATAGGCTGATCGAAGCCAGGGCACAGATAACTCACAGATTGAATTGGAATTTAGCTTGTTAGGCTTTGCAAAGGGAGGAAAATGGGAGAACCTAAAGAAAATATTTCTAATCAAGGGAGAGATCTATAAGTGAGAAAGAGAGGGAGAGAAGACAAATGAGAATAGACTTACTTTCTTTGTCGGTGCTGCACTGTCCTGTCTGTGGGTCTTTTGAGCAAGAAGTTGCGGCAGTATCTGAATCCTTTTCACCTCTTGCTAATGAGAAAATGCCTGATGAAAAATCAAAAATCAATTCTTTAGTGAGTTTATTTACATTTGCAATGCTAAAAATGCTTAGGGCTGTAAATATGGAAAATTTAAATGGGAAATCCCACCCCAGTGCCTCATAAATTCCCTCCCAATCAAATAATAAACAGTTCCTAAATTGTAAACCATTTATTTCAAAGAAAGAAATATTTTAAGAATTCTAAGGGGCTTATTATAATTCAAAAGCATTTAAGGCATAATTTTAGCGCTCTTCCTTTGGAAAAACGAGGAATGTGTGTCTTGCGTGACCCATTTCGTTACATTTTGCGTTACAAACGATAACCGGAAGTAAAAGTATCGCATGACTAATACAATTGAATCTACGAATCTTTCTGCAAAACATGTGTACAATATCAAGGACTAGATGACAAATGGCCATCAAGAGAATATCATGCACCGGCAAAGACGGCTATTACGTGGCAAACGGTCCATGAACAGTTGGGTGTTTTAATGATAAGTTTACATACAGTATACTATACTTTACTTACCTAATATTAATACAAATAAAACCACGATTGCTTCTGTGAATTTAATGGTTTTCATTTTCAGCTGTTAAAGAAAAATATATCAGTTAGAATTTCTAAAATTGCAGCAAATATTAAGTCAATTATTGAAAGGAAAAAGCTGTTTTTTTAGCTTATTTATTTGTTCTGAAAACACGATAAAAACCGGATTTTTAAGTGTTCTATTTTAGAAAATGTTTTTCAGTTTCATTTTTGTAAAATATTTAATCTTAAATTTCGCTTCTCTTGCAAGTTGCAAGTAAACAGCTGTTTCAAAGCCGCAAGCAAAATATGATTATCGAATCCAAACAGCTGGATCAACGCGCCACAAAAATATCTCTTTTATACTTCAAGTAATCCGAGAAATATCAACAAATTAAAGTAACTTCCTAAAGAAACAAAGGCCGTATTCGAGTTGCGAGTTCCTACGCGTCTGTAACCTCTTATTAGAAGAGGGTGAACTCGGTGAAGAGCAACACTCTCACGTACCAAATTATCACCTAAAAAAATCGACAGAAAAATAACGAAATTGGGTCAAAATAACAACAAAATTTATTCAACTTACAAACAATCCTTTTCAACTTGAGATATCCTATTTCAAAATGCTTCAAACGCCCAGATACAAAGCGGAATTAGAGATCATATAATTTCTAACCCTTATTCAGACGTGTACTTTAAAATACTTTAATTTATTTTTGTATTATTTATTAAAACACGTGCGCGCGCCTGCGAAGTGAGGACCAGCGGATTTTACCATCTGACATCCGGGATATCTTGAGATTGAAAGGCAAGAAAAATCCAAGATGGAGGAGATTGGAGTAATCGTTCACAACCAGGTAAAAACATGCTTTTCTACCTCATTTATTACGTTTGTTATATCAAAATCATCAAATATCAAAACTATGATACATAATCTTTTAAGTTCTGTGATTTTGTATCACATAAATTTGGTATTTATTCAGTTATTTAGACATGATTGTGTCATAGTTGAATCTTTTTGTTGAGTCATCCCGGCATATTTTCCTTGTATTTTGTCAAAGATTTCACTTTCATTTATCTGCGACTGATTAATAATAGAATCTTTGAATAACCTTTTTAGTGTTCTTATCTCTATAACCTTTGAGATACTAAGAGAAACAGACAAAGTACAAAACTTTGACATGGTTTTGGTGTTAGCAAAAGACTTATTCAGAACGCCACAACTTACTAGATTGTATATTTAAACGTTCGTAAAAAAAATCGTAAGGCCACATATTTATAAAGAGTTGATAAAAAGATTAACCCTTGCTATACGTCTAATACAGAATGGGCTAACCCTGTTATCAGTTTTGGGGGTAAATTAAGATTGTGAAGAGAATTTTCTTTTTTAATATCTTATAATAATATCATTACTATTATTTTAGTAACAGCCCTAATGCATGGTATTCCTTTGTTATATACAGGAAGAAAAGCATACCAGCAGTAGACCAGTTACTGCAAATTCACTGTGCAACCCAGTAGACCCAGAGACAGATGATCTCTACATAACGTACAAGAGACTCCAGAAACAGTTAGAATTCTTAGAAGTCCAAGAGGAATACATCAAAGATGAACAGAAGAATCTTAAGAAAGAGCTGTTACATGCACAGGAAGAAGTCAAGCGTATACAGTCAGTGCCGTTGGTTATTGGACAGTTCTTGGAAGCTGTAGATCAAACTACAGGAATAGTCGGCTCTACCACTGGTATGGAAAACCTTTCTTATGATTCTATCTATTACAATGACTTTTGCAGAAATTATCCCTACCCCTAGGGAGGAATGTTTTTAAAGACCTCCCACCCCCAAAAATTCCAATTTTCTTCCATACAAACTCTGTTATTTTGTTCTTTCTCTGACCCCCTCACCCCTCAGAAATTCAAAATTCCTCTGTGGGGGAGGGGGTATGGATAATTTCTGGAATACAAAATTTTATCAAATACTGAAAGTACCTCCAAGCTAATCTAGGTCAAGGCACAAGTAACTCAAGGCATTTCCATGACATTCCATATCTAGAGGTGCCTTCAGAGATCACTGGAATTGATTATGAAGTTTTCTCTTTATCAGGCTCAAATTATTATGTTCGTATCCTGTCGACCATCGATAAAGAGCTGTTAAAACCCAGTGCATCAGTAGCATTACATAAGCACTCCAATGCACTTGTTGATGTACTCCCCCCTGAAGCAGACAGCAGCATAGCTATGTTAACTAATGAAGAAAAACCTAACGTGCCATACTCTGATATTGGCGGCATGGATATCCAGAAGCAAGAAATCAGAGAAGCTGTAGAACTCCCTTTGACGCACTTTGAGCTCTATAAACAAATTGGTATTGATCCTCCAAGAGGTGTACTACTTTATGGTCCCCCTGGATGTGGCAAGACAATGTTAGCTAAAGCCGTAGCGCACCATACTACAGCATCTTTTATCCGTGTCGTTGGTTCAGAGTTTGTTCAGAAATACCTTGGGGAAGGACCCAGAATGGTCCGAGATGTATTCAGGTTGGCCAAAGAAAATGCTCCTGCAATTATATTTATTGATGAGATTGATGCTATAGCTACCAAACGATTTGATGCTCAAACTGGAGGTATGATGAATAACACTTGTTTCAGCTTTTCGATTTAGTACTTTTAATTTTTTTTTAATCCAGGCATCTTGTAAAGCATTATATCTTTTATATCTGTTGTTGTTAATGCTTCTATCTCTTAAATTTACTGCCTATCTCTGGTGTACTATAATATATACGGTACTTCTGACATCATGGTACCGACATCATAGTATAACAAAAACAATACCAGCTTCATAATCTACAGTGCAAGTCACAATAGATGTATTACAAGATTGGCATAAATTGTATTACACTAAAGACAAGTTGAATTTACTTCAATTTCATTTAATGTATCATATGACGGAGGAATCATATGATGGAAACCATGGCACCAGAGATCCAGAATTTTTGGATGGTCACAGAAGCATGACCTACAGGTTTTTAATATAATACTGCGTGTGTACTTGTGTTGTAATTAAAGCTTGTTTGTTTTTGGTCCTTTCAACAGCTGACAGAGAAGTACAGAGAATCCTACTAGAATTGCTCAATCAAATGGATGGCTTTGATCAGACTGTTAATGTCAAGGTAAGCCTTCCTATATAAACTTTTTTTAAAGAGGTGAATGAAAATCAAAAGAAAATGAGATGTGTTTATAATAGCTAACCCATTCTTTTGTCTTTTGATTGTTTGTTTTTGTTTCCTTGCCTACCTTCTTTTGTCTTATTCTATCATACATGTATATACACTCCTTTCTATCACCTCTTTCCTTTTTACTCTGACGAAGGACTAGCGTCCGAAATGTCAGTAAGTTTTTTCATCTTTTCATGGTGTATAATTTACCCTTTTATCATTACTGTTTSATTAGAAACACCRACACAGCTCACACTAGCTTTTAGCTAGTTATCTCTTCTTATGACTTTGAAAATCAATTGTTATCACAATATTAAATAATTCTTATCATTCATGATGTTATTAGGTTATTATGGCAACCAACAGACATGATACCTTAGATCCTGCCTTACTACGTCCTGGTCGTCTGGACAGAAAGATAGAGTTCCCATTGCCAGACAGACGGCAAAAGAGATTGATATTCTCAACCATCACGAATAAAATGAACTTATCAGAAGAAGTAGATCTAGAGGACTGTATCCTTTTCACAAATTTTGAAACCTTATTTAATGTTAAGTCTGTTTAGAGGGTTTTCTTCCAGGTTGTCTGGATTTCCTCCCTCCATAAAATCTAACCAGCTTGAAACCAATTCAATCTGTGGATTAGCCAAGCCCTGACTGCTTGTCCAGCCCAGAGGTTGTTTCAAGGTTTGATGGAAATATGAATTTCAATTTTCTGAGGGTCAAACCTAGACAATATTTATCACTCAATTTATTCTTAGTTTAGTTATAAATGCAGGTGGTGAATAAAATTGAAAAGCTTGGGAGAATATCCCTTTTACTACTCTTGGTTGCTTCCTTAACTTATGTGAACAGATGTTGCAAGACCTGATCGCATTAGTGGTGCTGATATTAATGCCATATGTCAAGAGGTAAATGCTACTGTTTGTTGAATGTGAGCAGTTATAGATGCAATGCAAGGGACCATTGTTCTCTTGTATTTACATCCTCACTGGTTCACTTCCCTGGGCAATAATCATTATCATTGGCTAGTGATGATGAAGTGCGAAGAGATGGTACTGCCATTTAAAGAAGTCATCAAACCCACTTTAAAATCTAACTATTTGTAGATGTAATTATAAAGGCAGCACTTTCTCCCCCGGGGGGGGGGGGTACTCCCCTATATTCGCTATACAGGTACGTGCCACCAAACAGGGTGTGGTTTTCAGCGATTCTACTCTGGAACAGGGTATATAAAATCGCACTCACTCTGGAACAGGGGTACCGGAACAGGGTATATGAAATCATGCTCTCTCCTCTCTGGAACAGGGTTTTCAGCGATCTTGCTCTGGAACAGGGTATGAATTTCAGCAATTTTTACTCTGGAACAGGGTCAGGGCTCAGCGGCACATCCCTACCCTAAACTGGCAAGGGTACCCCCCGGGCTTTCTCCTCAGTTCCTTTTTAAAAGACCCTGATTGATGTTCAGGCTGGGGATTGAACCTGCAAACCTCCACACAACAAATGATTTTGATGCCGAACCAACTAAGCCAACTGGTTGGCAGTTCAAAGCCAGGGCTTAAAATAATAGGTGGTCATGGTACAATGTAAAGCCAGAATTGGAACTTGCCCAGTCAATAAATGTTACGCCAGAGATAAGGTATGACCAAGTTAAGACTAACTTGGCTGGTGATTATGACTGGTGACTGACTGGCTGTTATCTTGAGCCCTGAAAGCAGTTTAAAGTAGAAACAGTTGTATAGGGTTCTTATGGTATTGTTTTTATTCAGGCTGGTATGCAAGCAGTGAGGGAAAACAGATATATTATCCTAGCCAAGGACTTTGAGAAAGGTTACAAGAATAACGTGAAAAAAGACGAACAAGAACATGAGTTTTACAAATAGATATCACCTCTTTGTACTCGCATGCACTGGATAATTTGTGAATAAAGTAACATGTATTGTATTATTGAAAAAAAAATCTTCGTGTAAAAAAAACTGGTGTGTTATTACTTAGAGAATATCCATCCTCTGTTTATAAGTGTGAATAATGTTTCATATTGCATGTCCACAGTCTAGCTCTGACAAATCCTGATGCAGGGAGGGGGGTGAGGGGATATGGATATTTCACAACTGATGTCACAATAGTCCCCTTCACGGTTCCCTGCGCCATCTTGAAAGGTAGCTGTGCCTTTGCAATGATAGAGACCTTTTTTTGTCTCGCTTGGATGCAAAGGCACAGCTACCTTTCAAGATGGCGCAGGGAACCATGAAGGGGTCTATTTTGAATAATGGGATTGAAATGCTGTTATGCAAAGCCAAGTGCACTTGCTAATATGCTGCAATGATGCTTCGTTACTGCCAATTTGTGTAAAAATGTTTTTTGAATGATATATGATATATTGAAATTTTTTAAATGTAACTGAAGCCTTTCTTTACAATGTTTGTCCACAAATCGATCCCACAAGGTTTTGCGATAACTATTTTTATTAATCGTGCAAAATGCTATTTACCCAAGGTTGAGGGATAGGGACTGAGTAGGAGTTATGGGGATCCTGTGGTAAAATGTTTCCCAGAATTCATCACTCAGGCATTCACAAAAACCCAGTTCATATATTTATAAACAAAGTTTGAACGATTCTTAAAGAAAGATTTCTTCAATTTTTCATTATTTTTGCTTCAAATATCATGTATATTTATGATAAAATGATGTTTCAAACTCTTCAACCATGAAAAAAAGGGATTTATTTTAGCAAACGTGGAAGAGGCAAGTTGTCATGGACAACGACAACACTGACACAGACCCTCCATCCAAGGATTAGAAACAACAGTTTTCTTGATAAAATGTCAGCTCTTGATCCCAGAAAAAGTGTCTTAGRAAGGTAAGAACTCCTTTAAAATGCAAAAGGATATACTATGTAGCTTCTCGAGGTAAAAAAATTATTATTCGTGAATTTATATAAGATTACAGAACCGAGAGAGAAACAGAGAATGGGTGGCTCAAGAGAAGACGACGAGAAGATGGTCTGCAGAATCTGGACGGGATGTGCTTGCTAGCAGTGGAAGGCGACCTCATGAGCGTAAAGCTACGAGTCCTCAGTATCTACCAAGGCTAAAAACACCTCCAGAATGGCCACGAGAATATCAACATGACAGTGATCTTAGGAGAGGGAAAATGACTGTGGTACCCCCCCTGGGGACCAATAAGGCTTTTGACAGGTAGGATATTCTGACTTCATTTTATAATTTAAGCATACAACACATAACGTTATGTAATCCCCTTCTTCTCTGTGGTCTGATTTGCTTTCATATTTTAAGCTACTTTTGATGATCATCTCATTCTTTCTCCTTGAATAATATTATTCAACCCTCTGTCCCACCTAAGTAATTTTGAGCTTTTTTAATATACTAACAGGGGCCATGGAGCAACCTAAAAAGTGGGGGGCTAAGATTGAGATTAGTACGGGAAGAAGTGGGGGCTTAGATTGGAAAATATAAGAGACTAGTATGTGAAAAGGGAAAGAGTGGGGGGGGGGGGGGAGCTGTAGCCCCCTGCCCCACACCTTCTGCAGCCCATGACTTATCCTCAATTTAAGTTTTTGCTAACTTTTCTTTACTTTTNCCCATGACTTATCCTCAATTTAAGTTTTTGCTAACTTTTCTTTACTTTTTATTTTCAGCAAAAGTACCAAGCAAAAATCACACTCACGTCAAAGAGTCCAATACAGACAAGCTAATCAGAATCAATGGTTTGGAGCTCAAGATATGAACTCTGGGATCCCTGTTCCACCACCCATTGTATATGGACAGCCACAACCAAATGGTTCTGCTATTGTTCCAAGCTATTCTACACAACCCTACCCCCCAGGGATGTATCCTGTACCAATGTATATGACTTATGCACCAGTATTTCTTCCCCATATGCAGAACACTAGTGGATTTCCCATGGGGGTAGTAGGCGGTAGACAGTTCTATCAAAGGTAGGATAACATTTTCTTATTATATAGGTCATTTGGTTGGGATTCCTGTGGAATGTGCAACACAGGGAGCCCAAGTCATAATTTATCAGCATTCAAAAATTGTACTTTTTATCAACTTTTCAGAAGATTGAGCAGAGATGAGGCAGCCACAAGCATACAGAAGTTTTTCCGGGGATGGAGGGAACGAAAGGTAAAACTAATATTTAGGATCACATTTTTCAGTTTCATTACATAACTATGGCAACCTCTTCGAGAGATTTTAATTTCTAAGGGGTAGGAAGGGTCTAAAGAGATTATGCTATTTCTAGGGGTAGTGGGGTCTAACGTTACCCTCCCCMCCACACATACACACACCTCACACCTTCAAGAGAGGTGTTTGGAAATTCTCTTAAAAAGTCTATATATAAAGTATTTTAGTCCCCAATCTTTGTTACTTTATTCCAGAATTCCAGACACCTTCAACTTAAGTTCTTAACACAAAAGTACTTTGCAAGAAATTTCATTGATAATTTGATATCTGAATTCCTTCAAGAAGAGATCATCCCTGATCTTTTGATACAGGTTTTGTCGCACAAGAAATTCCTGGTGAGTGTTCATTTCATCTAAGATGCAGCTGGGAGGGGAGGGGAAAAAGATATGCTTCATTAAAAGTTATAGCTATGCCCTATCTTAGATCAGCCCAGAGGTTGTTTCAGGGTT